CCGCTTTCTAAATCTAGAATTGCACAATGGTAAATGCAAATTCTTTTTTGCATTGAGTTGATCCCAAGGCTCACTATGATAACCAGTGTTAGTTGTGTCTTGTGACTAGGGAGTAGATCAGTACATGAAAAATATCTTGTCTCGTCATTTCATCATAGAGATATATAATGTCATCCATAAGCCACCCACAATACTAGAAAGAATACCTTTACCAGAATAAAGTAAACAGTTTGTCTAAAGTAAATCCATGTCGACATATAATCTTTTGAGCATCGATCGACGTCAATTCCGTGGAGTATTATCTGTTAGCCAGTACACCTAGTAGGCTAGCGCACGAACAAGCTAGATCCGATGCATGGGATCGGATGGGACAGCGACCTTTCATGCAGATGCAAGCGGCCAATCCCTGGCTGGCCTTCCATGCATACACACGTCACGCCGTGCCCGCCACCAATTGTCCAGAAAGTAAAACTTGATCTATCACCTTTTGATAATTTGTACGGGTATTTGTCCTGCTCTTCTGCGGGGTAGATTGCTGCAAAAGTCATCGTAATGGTGGCACGTGCATGTTTTTCATAATGCAGTACGTTGACACGTCGGCAGTCTCATGCATGCATGCATGCATGAAGCTGTTCAGTGTGAAAAGTTATTGACCGGTGCATGCATGTACATGCAGAGGCTGGAGACGCTGCTGCGCGAGCTGCGGTACGCGCGGGGCTTCGCGTCCGTGCAGGACGTGTCGTACGTGGAGTTCCTGGACCGCGTGCACGGCGGCGAGCTCAAGCTCCGTGCCGCCGGTCAGTGGGACGTGCCGCACCCCTGGCTCAACCTCTTCCTCCCGCGCTCCCGCGTCCTCGACTTCGCCGCCGGCGTCTTCCACGGCATCCTCCGCCGCGGTACCACCGGCGCCATGGGGCCCGTCCTCGTCTACCCCATGAACCGGAACAGGTGGGACAGCGGCATGTCGGCGGTGTTCCCAGAGGAGGAGGAGGTGTTCTACACAGTTGGGATCCTCCGGTTGGCCGTGTCCGAGGGCGACCTCGGGCGGCTGGAGGAGCAGAACGACGAGATCTTACGGTTCTGCGAGGAGGCCGGGATAGCGTGCGTGCAGTACCTGTCGTACTACGCCGACCAGGCCGGGTGGGAGAAGAAGCACTTTGGTCCAGCCAAGTGGGCCAGGTTCGTGGAGCGGAAGAGGGAGTATGACCCCAAGGCGATCCTGTCCCGTGGTCAGAGAATTTTCACCTCCCCGCTGGCTTGATCGCGAAAGATAATCCATCGGTCCCGATCGACTCCCCGACCTAGCTAGACCCTAGAGAGGGGTATATATTCTCTTTAATGCTTTGCCATCATGATATATTTAGCTTGCCTTCGTGCATGCATGCATGTGTGGGTTCGTCAGGAGGAAAATGATTTGAATTTACTGCATGTTAATTAGTACGATGTTTGTAGGAGTACATGTTATGTCGAAGTTAATTAGTAGTATGTCATGCAATCATGGCACGGATGGGTTATGTGGTAGAACATGCTATGTCGAAGTTCATTTGGCTTCCATGCAAGTGAATCAAGACGCTCGATCAAATGTATCGGTTCCTTCCTTGTACGTACGGTACCTGTTGTCATCTAAATTTTTTACTATTCCAAACGTACGCATGCATTAAATTGATTAAGACAGAGATGCATCGATGGAAACTGTTCATGCGACACCCACAGTGGTACGCGCAGTGCAGTCGTCATCGCCGATCAGTTGGTTGACGGATATAGCCGGATCCAAGCAAGATCTCGGGTGTGAGGGTGCTGCCTGCCTCTGAAAGCAACGGGACAGAAAATTGACGACCAGTCAAAGTCCATGCATTCAGACCGTAGCCGCCCAGTTACAGCGTGCAGACAAGCAGCTAGCTGTCTAGCTCCGTGCGCCTGTGTTAATATTGACTCCGTAAACTAAATAAGAGTATCAAGATCACTAAAATAGTTTATAGAGAGAGTACTAGTTAGACTGTCACGCTAATTTAAAAAAAAAAGACCAGCCTGGGCTAGACTAGCCTGTTGACATTTTTTTTATGTAGAAGAAAACTCCATGAGTAGCAAGTGCTTGAGCCAAGACTCGATGATGAGCTGGCTGCGAGCCCATGTCTTGCCAACTGAGCTACGCTCCACACTTACTGTCACGCTATTATGGAACGAAGAGAATATGTGATCTCTATTATTGTCTGTTCAGTCAGAAACTAAGGTAGACAAGCTATAGCTGGCCGGCTAAACAGTTACACGCACGAAGAAATCGTGCGACATGAGCAACTGGATGGATTGGACGGCAGCAAGAAGTGACGGGCCAAAGGAACGCAATTTGCATTCGAACCATCTACACGACACGATCGACCGATGCGACAGATTTCCAGCTGCACGTCACAAATCCCCTGACCCGTCACATGCATGCGCACGCGTACATATATTTATACAGCTTGCCACAGCTGCACTGCACCGTATCTCGCCGCGCCAGATCGGAGGGTACGTATCCCGTCTATTTGTGTCTCCACCGTATACAGTTCTGTCCCACTGTTCGATACGTATATAGCTAAAAAGCTGGCTGGATTCGATTTGATAGCTCACTAGATGTGCGACAGGTCCGTCAGTGCAACAGGACGAGTGGAAAGGGTACTTGTCAAGTCGACCCATGCACCCCAGTCTTCTCTTCTTCCTCGTGGTGGAGAAAAAGAAAAATCCACAATCCTAACCTACGTAGCCGCCATGAAGTCCTATGTAAACTCCCAATCAATCTTCTCTGCGCCCCTAATTTCACAGGGTTGGGCCCCTCCCACTCCCACCGATCCAGTAATAATGCTCTACATCAGCCTTTACATAAAATGCTCACCCAAGTTTTCGTGTGTCTAGCATTACTTAAAAAGAAATCATATACGACCGTCGCAACTCTTTTGCTCCATCGGACCGTCGCTTGCATGCACAATCGACACGGGCCTCAAGTCCGGTGATACCATTGGCGAGTACACCATCTACGTCAAGGTGCGTGACGTAGTGGCCGCCGCCGGAACTTAATGATTAAGTAGCATTCCAAGTTTGATAATGAAAACGGTGGTAAATTTTCTTGAAACGAATGGATTCTCCAAATTTGTTGCTTTTGTTTTCATGATGGATGATGGTAGTTACGGATTTGAGTTCTAGATGTGATGTGATTTGTAGTTTTGCTATTTGCTCTACACTGTAGGGTAAATTGTGTCGACTTTATGTCAATTTGTGGTTGTCAAGAGCAACGGGTTTCATATACAAAAGCAACGGGTTTCAGCTTGAACTTTATAAATAAGAAATCCCATTCATACCACCGTGAACTTGTTCATATGCCTAATTACCACTCAAGAAATTGGATTCTAATCATATATGCCACTAAAATTTGGCACCATGTACACACATTGACGGTGTTACAGCCTAGGGGTTCCTTGCCACCCCGAAAGTAAGCCCGGTAGGCCGGCCTATGGCCCCATAGGTCGGTATATGCCATGGACAACCATCCTGACTTGTGGGCTCTCTCGAAGGAAGGATTTGCGAGACTTGATGATCAAGAGAAGGAAGTCGGCATTCAGGGACGACACTGCCTTAGCCGATCAGGCACCGTGTAACACAATATAGCCAGGAATATTTGAAAAAAAAAATTCACCCGTTAATGTGGAAGGCTGGTGTCTTGAGTGAGGAGGCAAAGAAATATAGCCAAGAAACTACATAAACTTTCTTGATTGTGCCACAAATAAATGGGAAGTCCACTACAAATCCCAAAGGTATATATTGTGATCAAGAAATATTAACTTTTTTATGGACTTGCTTTGAGGCAACTAAAAACATTTGAATGACATTAATGAAAGTAGCTAACATAACCAAATTTTCATTTCTCAATCAACATTCAAACCAAACAAAAATTATGACATTCGCTATTGGTTCTTTTTCATAAAAAAGGATAATGAAATAATCGGTAGTTGATCTTGGGAATATATGTCAACAAAAGTAAGCATTAGTGACTATTTAGCCTCAAGATTTGAATGACATCCAAAAAAGGATGTACCGAAAAGTGCAATAGTGGAAGAATGCACATCCACTGAAAAACATGAACAAAAAATAGTTACGAGACATGAGGTTGAGTCTGATTGACAGAAAAGAGAGATAAATATGTCACTACCACCCACCCACGAAAATATTACGTGTTATGTACAAATTCGAAGAGAGAGAGGGGGGGGGGGTCTTGAATTGAAGTGCAGATTGATGTGAATCAATAGGAAAATCCATGTCCAATGTGTAGAGGAATTGGCAATGCTCCTACCGTTTTCATAAAAAAACAGGATTAATACATGCTGCCCTATACTTTAGTCCAATGTCGATTTAAAAACATTGAGCAAATATGAATCACCCGTGAACTTATAGTCAAATATGCCCAAAAAATGGGCATCATGACCAAGAGATGAGAGCATGCATACCACTGGAGTAGCAAGAGACCCATCAAGCAATGAAGCCAAATCGACCAGAAATAGACCTATGAAGCAAATCGTCAATCACCAGCAAAAGTTAACAATCTCAAAAACCATAACTCCAGGATAGGAAAAATTGGGGGTGGCAAAAAATAGGGAGCGGACACCTATCTGTAGGACGCGAGCATGCGTTCGTGATCGGCGGTGATGGTAGTACATGCATCTTTTCAAAGATGAAGACGACAGCCGCTTCTTCCGCATTTGCAGGGTGATAGAGGCTCAGGTAATTAGAAAGGATGAATGTTGTCGTTTCATGGCGAAGAGTGTAGAGCGCGTCGATGATGGCAGCTGATGACCCACAAGTATAGGGGATCTATCGTAGTCCTTTCGATAAGTAAGAGTGTCGAACCCAATGAGGAGCAGAAGGAAATGACAAGCCGTTTTCATTAAGGTATTCTCTGTAAGCACTGAAATTATCGGTAACAGATAGTTTTGTGATAAGGTAATTCGTAACGGGTAACAAGTAACAAAAGTAAACAAGGTGCAGCAAGGTGGCCCAATCCTTTTTGTAGCCAAGGACAAGCCTGGACAAACCCTTATATAAAGGAAAGCGCTCCCGAGGACACATGGGAATTATCGTTAAGCTAGTTTTCATCATGCTCATATGATTCGCGTTCGTTACTTTGATAATTTGATATGTGGGTGGACCGGTGCTTGGGTATTGTCCTTCCTTGGACAAGCATCCCATTTATGATTAACCCCCCTCGTAAGCATCTGCAACTACGAAAGAAGAGTTAAGGTAAACCTAACCATAGCATGAAACATATGGATCCAAATCAGCCCCTTACGAAGCAACGCATAAACTAGGGTTTAAGCTTCTGTCACTCTAGCAACCCATCATCTACTTATTACTTCCCAATGCCTTCCCCTAGGCCCAAACTGAAGGAAATATGCCCTAGAGGCAATAATAAAGTTGTTATTTATATTTCCTTATATCATGATAAATGTTTGTTATTCATGCTAGAATTGTATTAACCGGAAACTTAGTACATGTGTGAATACATAGACAAAAAGAGTGTCACTAGTATGCCTCTACCTGACTAGCTCGTTGATCAAAGATGGTTAAGTTTCCTAGCCATGGACAAAGAGTTTTCATTTGATAAACGAGATCACATCATTAGAGAATGATGTGATTGACTTGACCCATATGTTAGCATAGCACTTTGATCGTTTAGTTTACTGCTATTGCTTTCTTCATAACTTATACATGTTCCTATGACTATGAGATTATGCAACTCCCGAATACCGGAGGAACACTTAGTGTGCTATCAAACGTCACAACGTAACTGGGTGACTATAAATATGCTCTACAGGTGTCTCCGATGGTGTTTGTTGAGTTGGAATAGATCGAGATTAGGATTTGTCACTCCGTGTATCAGAGAGGTATCTCTGGGCCCTCTCGGTAATGCACATCACTATAAGCCTTGCAAGAAATGTGACTAATGAGTTAGTTAGGGGATGTTGCATTACGGAACGAGTAAAGAGACTTGCCGGTAACGAGATTGAACTCGATATTGAGATACCAATGATCGAATCTTGGGCAAGTAACATACCGATGACAAAGGGAACAACATATGTTGTTATGCGGTTTGACCGATAAAGATCTTCGTAGAATATGTAGGAACCAATATGAGCATCCAGGTTCTGCTATTGGTTATTGACCGGAGATGAGTCTCGGTCATGTCTACATAGTTCTCGAACCCGTAGGGTCCACACGCTTAACGTTCGGTGATGA